ATTCCAAAAAGCAGGGGCCCCATAGAATTTTAAAAAAGGAAGTCCTGGGGGCCTCCCTGGTGGCGCAAGGGGTTAAGTCTCAGCACTATCAAGCTACCCACAGCCACTGCAGCGTGAGTTCAATCCCCGGCCAGGGGGGTGACCCACATGGCACAGCAGACCTCTCCTGTCTCCCTGCTACTCCCCTCAGCAGTGTATTTCAGTAGATCTGCCTGTTCTGCTCCCCACTCTGTCTCTGGTGAATCCTCTCAACCCCCCCCCCAACCTCTGGCCTGTACCCCAGCTCTTTTATGCATAAATAAATAAAATAAATCTTTTAAAAAATAAAAATAGGAAGTCCATTACTCATACTGAAATTAATGGATGCATTAGCCTTCAACATTAAGATCTAAAGCCATCTTAAACAGACACAGACAAGGAGGCTGGTAACTACCACATTTATGTGAATCTTTTTTTTCTTCCTGAAGCATTTTTTTGAAACAAATTCTAAAAGCGTAACTACAAGGTTTCTGTAGTTAAACTGTTGGGTGTAACACTACTGTATGCAGTGCTGTGCCTCAGCCCAAACCGAAGAGCGTCCATACCCTTTCTCTTTCCACCTGGACCCCATATAGGTCTTCATTTCTTGAAGCCCCCGGGCTCTGGGCTCTTTCTGCTTTACTCCTGATGTTTAGATGTTTTGTTCTCTGACCCATGACTTGGGTCAATTGGAAATGGAATCTAGATTGGAAAGAAGGTGGGAGAATTAGTTTGCAAATTTATATGCATAAAGTCTCAAGCAAAAGGATTGATTTTCTAAGGATTGATTTTCGCAGTGCTAACAGGATAATAAGGGAGATATTTTCAGGCTTCATAGCTTTCCCAGTAACCCTCAAATACACCTTGCAGGCAGTCCCTTTTTTGACCATGGGCAAAGTTGACTTAGTCTCCCCCACTATCTCTGGAGCTCCTTCCCCTTCTTTTCTGCTTCCTGGGGGCCCATGTGATATCTCACAGGGACTCTCAAAAGACCCAGGCTAACCCCTGCTTATGCCTTGTGTACCTCTCTGTGTCGAGGTGTGGCCCCTCCTTCCACCACCAGAACCAGATGGCCTCCTGGGACCCCAGGCTCTCTTTGAATGCCCTGTCTTGGCTACAGAACAGAGGGTTGGCAGGCACATCTGCCCCTCTAATTACGGGAGGCCATTCCGCGTGTGGAGCTGAGGCGAGTGATTGACTAAATTCTCCACACTGGATGTTGAAAAGACAACAAAATGGCCAGAAGCCAGAGTCCCAGTGTCTTTTACCCTCTTGTTAAAAATCATTGTCTAATCTGAGGAAAATCTACCCTGCCAGCTCTCAGTTGGCCTAGATGTTAAACCATTTGCCAGCTGAACCCAGACTTTTTCCCTTTTGGCTTCTCTTGGACACACTTGTCCTGGGCCTGCGGTTGGTGGGTTGGAAGAGAGGCAACCCTGACAGACTGAACTACCTTTCATCATCCACAGGGCAACTTAGGGAGGGGGGGAGCAACCCTTGTTTTGGGGGAACCTAGGGAGTCCTTGTCTCCCTTCAAAAATGAGGCCAGTGTTGAGCTGGGGAGGGAACCAGTTCAGGAAGCCGGGACCATGGCCCTCAAAGTCCCAGCCCTTGCTGGGCTGCCTGTCTTGTGTGGTGGAGGATTCTCAGACCCATTCAAGAAGGGTAGCAAAAGCATCTCCTTTTGTTGTCTCATTTTTCTTTAAAAGTTTTTTTTTTTCATATAGAGGCATGTTTTATTTATGTATTTGTTTGTTTGTTTTGTTTATACATGCACTGGGTACAGTCAGAAGCGCGGGAGGGTGAGAGAATTCACCAGAGCCAGAGCGGGGAGCAGAGCAGGCAGAAGGACCGAAGTACACTGCTGAGGGGAGCAGCGGGCGGCAGGAGAGGTCTGCGCGCCATGTGGGACCCTCCTCTGGTGGCCGGGGAACAGCCGGGGATCGAACCGGCGCTGCAGAGGCCATGGGCAGCTTCGCAACCCAGCGCTCAACCGCTGCGCCACCAGGGAGGCCCACATTTTTCTTTAAAAGTTTACTTTCAAATTTTAAAATGACTTTTATATACATACTTTTCCCATATGTACATATATGTATATATATATAAACTGTGCCAGTTATGTTTGTTGTAAAACATTTATGTAATTCATAGAAAGAATGAAATGAAATATGAAAGTTCACCCCATGCTGTTTCCCTCCCAGAGGGTGGTCCATATACCAAATCTCCTAGATTCTTCTTCACGTGGAATACTTTTGCTTGTTTATAAAAATGGAGGTCGGCTGTCATCACTGAGCAGTATTTTGTGAGACTAGTCCTGTGTGGTACGTGCATACCCTGTCCTTACCAGCCGCCCACTGTTCCTTTGTGTGGACTGACAGATTGCTTATGAGCGATTGGTTGTTTCTGACTTGGGCTACTGCAAATACTCCCTGGCAGTTGTTGCAACCTTTCTGTAAGATAAATTCCTGGAGGTGAAAATTGCTAGATTAAAATAGGGTTCAATTGGAGCATTGGGCCCACTGATGCTCCGCAATTTTAGAAAAGAGCAACTGAGAATGAGAATGAAACTGAGGCGTCTTAGATGCAAGGGGTTGAGGGGTTAAGGGGGGGGGGTTATGTTCAAATGTTCCCATACCTTTGTATGTAACAGCCAATAATTAGAAACAGCCCAGATATCCTTCAGCGAGCAGAAAAAAGAAAACGTATATGGGGCTCAAAGCTAAATGCATATCAAATACACTTGTGACCTGTGTTAGATACTTTTCTCTTTTTCCCCTTATTTATTATTTTTTTAAATTTTGGTGTGAAAGAACTGGGGTGTGGGCCAGAGGTGTGGGCAGAGGGGATGGTGTGAGAGGATTCACCAGAGACAGAGTGGGGAGCAGAACGGGCAGATCTACTGAAATACACTGCTGAGGGGAGCAGCGGGTGAGTCAGGAGAAGTTTGCTGCGCCATGTGGGAAGCTCCCTGGCCGGGACAGAACTCAGGCCTTGCGGTAGCGCTGAGACTTAACCCCTAGGCCACCAGGGAGGCCCCAATACATACTTTACAAATGAGAGTCCCAAACTTGGTCTTAAAAAAAATTGTAAGATATGTATTACCACTCTTTCCCCTCACCCAAGTGTCCCCACCGCGATTCCTCACTGAATTTATGGTGAATTTTTATTTAACTTGAAAATGAAAGTTCATGGTGGGGTACATTCATTAGAGCCGATCCACTCTTTAGCGTTTTGTTACATATAAGAAGGCAACCTATTAAAATTAGAGCTGCTGATACATTTTTCGTTTCTTAGATTGTCGTCCAACACTTTGTCCCAATTTTGTGTCTTGCCGTTGGTCTTGTGTTCCCACAACATTGGTCCTACAGACCCACAAGGCCACATACTGAGTAGGCTGGAGCCTGGCAGAGTGGTTTGGGTTACACCCAAGAGCAAACCCAGTGCCTCCACTTCCTCTCTGCTCCTCCCCTGGCTTCTCTGAAGAGAAGGTGCAGTGAGGGCTGAATTTGATTTAGCAGGAAGCTCTCTGCAGAGCACCTTGAGTCATGGGCAGGAATCCGTCTGTGCAAACTGGACCGCTTGGAAAGTGACAAGGGAGACTAAAGATTAGTCTGTGATCGATGTGTCGCTGGCCTACCGCAGACTGTCCCTGCTGATGGCACCTGTAGCTGCCTGGGAAGGGGAGGGAGTGGACGTGTCCATCCACTTCAAGGTCTAGGTGTGGAGACGTAGGCAGAGCTGATCTGGTAGCAGCCTTCTGCCCCTCAGCCCTTCCTGGCGCCCACAGAATAGAGACTTGAGTTCAGGAAACAGGGAGCAGGCAGGTCGACAGCCCCTCGCCACCCAGGAATGACTCCTTCCATGTAGGGAGTCAGAGGAGCTGGGGCTGCTGCCCTGCCCCCACTGCTCATGGTGGAAACCATCAGATCGGGCTGCCTTTCCTAGGACTTAAAGCAGGACACTTTCATAATTTTATTTGTGCTTCTCACATCCCTGGAAATAGTCTCACCCTCCCAAGATGACCGAGCAGAGGTATTTGTACGGGATCATGCAGCCATTCAGGCATAAAACTGACACTGCCTGGTCTCGGGAGAGGTTGGCTATGGAGAAGCCACGGAGCTCTGACCTGGTCACTGGCCAGGAGTGAAAGGGCGGCCTGAGTTGGCGCTTGCCTCCCTGCCACGGAGTGGGGCTAGCTTCTCAGCCGCAGATAGTCTTGTGGTGGCCGCGGAGCTTCCTGAAGATTCTCTGCAAAGAAGGCAGTGTCTCCAGCTCTCTGGGGCTCAGGGGTTGCTCTGCGTGACATTCTAAGCTGCAGGTGAGGTTTGTCCAGAGACGGGATGAAGTGTGTGGTCATCCAATCCCAAGTTCACGCCCCTGGCATCTTGCTGCGCTCTCCTCCCTTACATCTGGTCTGTTTCATCGCCTGCGTTTCTGACAGTCAACAAACACACACAGGCTCCCAGGACATCAAAAAAGGGGCCAGTGCCCTCTGTTTACCCTCAGCTGGACGGGTGCATCTCACAGGGCATGGGGGGCAAAGGGGGGGCACGTCAGAGGAGAGTTTGTTACTTCCTCCCAAACACTTGGGGAATCCAAAACAACTCTTGAGAGACAGGATCAGTTCCAGACTCTCCTTTCTCCCGAACATAGGACAGCTAAGGTCCTGGCCTGGGACTGAGAGGTGAGGGGCAGGGAGAGGGACAAAGGTGCCCTCTCCGGGTTCACCCAGCCCTGGTTCAGGCTGCTGATTTCCTGGAGGAAAAGAAGAGAATGCTGGGTTCAGCAGGAGGAGACAGAACATGTGGACGAACCCCCTGGGGCAGGTCCACGGCCTCCTCCCTGAAAATCCATCCCTGAAATCTGGCTTCCATCCCTGACCTCCTGTTGAGAACTTTCCCTAGTCGCAGAGGATCCAGCCAGTGGCCAGTTTGCCTTTCTAAGAGTCCTTGAGCCTGGCTTAGGTCAAGACTGAAGGAAAACTACTGCACGCCAGCACCGGTGCCACTTGTCAAAACGCGCAAGTGCGTCTGGACAGGTGAGGAAAGAGTCGCTGCCCTGAGCCCTCAGGAGTCCCCCAATCCCGGGGTTCCCTAGCTCTTCCCCCCAGACCCAGCCATTAAAGGGTTAACAGTAAGGCCATTCTCATTGGCTGGTATCCAGCCACCTCCCTGGGGCACATACTCTGGGTTTGTCCTCGTGTCTCTCTAAGAAGAGATCTTCAGCATTCCTTTTCTTCTGCCCATTCAACAGCGTTTACTTAATTTTTTGAAAGATTTTTTTTTATTTATGCATACAAGAACTGGGGTGCAGGCCAGAGGTGTGGGGGTGAGAGGATTCACCAGAGACAGAGTGGGGAACAGAACAGGCAGAAGGACCAAAGATAATGCTGAGGGGAGCAGCGGGCGAGACAGGAGAGGTCTGCTGTGCCATGTCGGTAGCTCCCTGGCCAGGGATTGAACTCCTGCTGCTGGTAAAAGCTCAATAGTGCTGAGACTTTAACCCCTACAAAACCAGGGAGGCCCTCAACAAGCATCTCAATGGCAGCCATAGGAGACCAAAGGCTACACCAGACACTGGAAGAATAAAGAAGCGCAGGGCACACATCCTGCCAGTCGGGGGGCTCAGATGAAGAGATCCAAAGGAACTGAGTACCAAGGGCAGTGCCACAGCCACCACAGTCTTCCTCAGCTCACTCATCCCGAGGGGCCCTCTGCTCCCTCCGGGATTCCACCGCCGGTGTTGCTCCCCCACCAGGCCCCTGGCTCTACCTTCTACACATTTCGTCTTGAACGCACCATTTTACATTCTACCCTTCTCGTGTGCAAGAAAGAACACATCTTCATGAAGTAGCCTCTTATTTCCCCAGGGCAGCCAGCCTTCACGCTTTCTTACTCTCGGAACACCCCAAAGTCCAGGTGGCGCCTCTTGCGCCTTCCATGTCCTGGTCCCATCACAAGGGTCCAGGGCTGCGGCCCCGCCAGCTGGTCTGCCCAGGGCGGGAGCCACCTCCTCTTCACACTCTGGTCTCACCTTAAATGTCTCCTTTCCCGGTGATTAGAACCCGGTCTTATCTTACAGGGCCACCAGGGCCCCCTCTTTCTGGAAGCCGTCAGGACTCTCCTTTCCTGGCCCACCTCTAAATTCCTCCAGTTCTTACTTGCTTCATGACATTGCATTCAGTCACTGCATTGCTAACGCTGGTTCCCATCTAGTCCCCGCCCCATGCGACTTTGCTGCACGTGTCAGACTTTGCTGCGTGTGTCAGGCGCAGGCTGCTGGCCTGATCTTGTCATTCAGTCTTGAACCTTTGGATCCCCGCTGGCCATTTGGTTGATGGGGGCTTTGTCTTTCCTCTTGGGCTGGGCCATTCTGGAAGTTTGTGTGTCTCTCAATAGAACCTCACGCGGAGTACTATGCTTAGCTTGTTGAGGCATCTCACCGCTTCATGCTCAGGTCCATCCACATTCAGATTAGCCAAACAGAATCAGGAGAAAGACCATTTCCGCTATCTGGAAACTCAGCTAAAGAAAAAGGGCCGCATTCCCAGGCATTGCACAACTTCTGAGTACAAAACACCCTGAGCAGATAGTAAACAAACAGAAACAGGCCTCGGCTTTTAGGAGCCAAGAAAGAGGGTGTGTGGGGGGGTTGGAGGGAGGACAGTCAGGGCGAACAGGCTGCTCACCCTGGCACTGCCCCCCCCACTGGGGCTTCTACTGAAAATGGATGGGGGCAGCAGCCCTTCTGATTCCCAGACCAACCTTTACAGATTTCCCTTTACCCGCAGGTGCCTGCAGTGAGCACGCTTTGCCAGCTGACCACGAGCTGACCACGCTGGCGAACTCGGAGGCGGGGTCAGCAGCCTGCGGGGGGAGTCGAGGAGGTGTTAGCGCTGATAGGAGGTGTTGTTACTAATGCAGAGTCCTGCGTTATTACTCCTATCAGCTTACATTGGCAGCGCTCGCTTTAAAATAACAAGACCTATGCGGGGCGCTTTTTACAGGCCCCGCATGTGTGTGCTGTGCAGCGTGCTCTGCAGGTACCATCTCACTCGAGCCTCCCCACCTCGGTCTTCCAGAGTCTTCCAGAGTCTCGTGGTGTTGCTGGTATCACCGCCCTGCAGGGGAGGGAAGGAAGGCTTAGGAGGCGCTTGCCAAGGTCCCACAGCGCTCAAGTGGCAGAGCTGGGATTTGAATGTGGCTCTCTTGGCTTCCGATCCCTTTGCTCTCAACCATCTCAACCCGCTCCGCCATCTCTTTCCCAGAACTGGGAGCTGAGCCTGGTGGCCTCAGCCCCTTCTCTGCCTCTGGGCTCCGGGAGCCACAGCGCTGGCCCCGGGAAAGGGGATGGGAGATGACGTCTCCCTCTAAGATCGCTGCCTTTTGTCCAAATGTGCTGGCCGGGAGCCAGGCTGGAAACTCTCTGCTCATGGAAAGAGAGAGAACAGAAGCCAGCCAGAGAGGGTGGGAAAGGGGCTGAGGGGAGGAAAGGAAGAGGAGGGCAGGCAGGGGGGAGAGAGAGAGTTGCGGAGGAGTAAAGGGTTTGGGGCAGCTCAGCTGGGGTCTTAGGGCCTGCAAGGACTGCTTCCAGGTGCAGTGCGAGTGGCCACCTTGCCCCCTGGAGGCCCAGCCCTCCCACCCCCCAACTCCAGGTGCCCCCAGAACAGATCACAGGGGCCCCCTCTCTCTGCCATGTTACCCACAGGGCACCCCCCCCACCCCCGCAGTGTTCGCTGAGGCCAGGTTAGAGTGAACTTCAGGAAAGCCTTCAGAGGGGGGAAAAAATCACAAAATGGCAGCCTGAGGGAGGCCTGTGGAAGCAGAGGGGACGGTGCCTTGGACCAGAGTGTGCGTGTGGCTGCCAGAGGGCAGGGGGCAGGAGAAAAGGGGATAGGTAACAGGTACTTTGGATTTTTATTTTTTTAAGATTTATTTAGGGCCTCCCTGGTGGCCCAGGTGGTTGAGCGCCACACTATGAAGCTGTCCGCAGCCTCTGCAGTGTGGGTTCGATCCCAGCCAGCCAGCGAGAATCCCACATGACGATGCAGACCTCTCCTGTCTCACCCGCTGCTCCTCTCAGCAGTGTATTTCTTCAGTCTGCCTGTTCTGTTCCCCGCTCTATCTCCAGTGAATCCTCTCACCCTCCCGTGCATCTGGCCTGTATCCTGGTTCTTGTATAAAAATAAATAAATCTTAAAAAAAAAGATTTATTTATTTATGCATACAAGAGCTGGGGTGTAGGCCAGAGGTGCCGTGTGTGTGTGTGTGTGTGTGTGTGTATGTGTGTGTGTGTGTGTGTGTGTATTCACCAGAGAGAGAGTGGGGAGCAGAACAGGTGGACTGACTGAATACACTGCTGAGGGGAGCAGCGGGCGAGACAGGAGAGGTCTGCTGCACCATGCGGGTAGCTCCCTGGCCAGGGATCACATGTGCTGGAGTGGCTGCGGATAGCTTCCTAGTGCTGAGACTTAACCTCTTGCACCACTAGGGAGGCCCCATTTATCGGTTCTTTGAAAAACAAAAAACCCTAACTCCAGGAATGTTTCTGGGTTCCTGAAGAGGTGGACTCCTCAGTTGTCTGAAAAGAAAAGAACAACTTTCATCAAGAATGTGGAAGGAGCAGAGTCAACTTCTCCTGGGACAGCTTTTCTGTAGAAACTTGAGTGGCCTGGAGGGAGGTGAGAGGGGGAGGTGAATGATCCCTAGATGAGTCCTATCTTGGGTCCTGTCCCGATGTCTGCCACCACTCACTGGGTGACAGAGGCTAGGGAAGTGACACAACTCCTGGGTGACATATTGCCATTTCTAGCCCTGACATCCCCCCATCTCCCCATCCCCATCACCCCCTTGTGTTCATATATCAGAGCTTCTCCATGCCAAGGACTAAAAGCTTCATTATATGTATCTTTTTTTTCCCTTTGCTCCTCGAATTTCCTTACTGGACTGGGTCTTGCACTGTCACTCACAGGCTGGATTTCCAGCGTCCGAGTGGGTCATGAGGGGATGCTGCTCAGATCAGGGGGAGGACTTGGAGGCCTGGGTCAGCCACTGCAGGCGTCATTCCCAACAGGGTCCTGGGAGAAGGGGCTCAGCATTTCCTGAAGGGAAATGACTCCCATAAATAGAGGGATGGGAAAAGGATTCCTCAGGCCCTTCCTCTTGTCAGCTCAGCTGTTCCTTCTGGTTTCCAGACTATGCTGCCTCATGTAAACAAACGTTTTCCATTCAGATGTGTCCCTGCCTCTCTGTGTGTGTGTGTGTGTGTGTGTGTGAGAGAGAGAGAGAGAGAGAGAGAGAGAGAGAGAGAGAGAGAGAGAGAGAGATGTGATCTGCTGTGTATATTGCAGATATGAATTAAGAACTGGAGAAGGCATACAGGCTCTTTGCTGTTGCTTCTTACCCACAGTTACCTCTCCTTAGTCCATTCCAGGAGGAGGCCAGAGGTTTTTCAGTGGGGTTTTATTGGGAAGGAAGGAAACTGTGCACCTTCTGATACCATGCCCTATTTACCTTCACCCCAGGGCTCAGCAGGTCTTCCTGTAGTAATGCTCATAATAAGTCCTTCCAGTGCTCAGAAAAATGGGGCTCATGACATCTGCCTTATTCACACACCGTATTCCCAGCATCTCCAGTGTCATCAAGAGTCTCCTCAGAGAGAGAAAGGGACTTTTTCTGACCCTCAGTGTGCACTGGAAATGGTCAGCTCACAACCAACCTCCTGCACAACCCGCACGCCCAATGCGGGTTGACCTGAGCAGCTTGTTTGTTCAGCATCAGCCATATAGTTGTGGCTTCATGCTTAAAATACACACACACACACATTTTCCTTTTCCACTTTGTAGTTGGACATAGCTTGAACTAGAATGCCGCGCGTTGGTGGGGATTCTTTTGGTCACATAAGCAAACATGAGTGTGAAGGCAGCTGGAGGGGCCCGTGACAGGAATACAGCCCGTCAAGAGTGGCCTGGGTCCAGGGCGTGCAAAGCCACCTTCCCCTTGGCATCACTCTTCTCCCCACAGCTCAGGGCTCTCCAAT